TTATTGGGGAGTAGAATTTGATGAATGAAAATAATTGATCGTGTTTTCTTTTGGGAGAGTATCCCGTATTCTGGAGAGAGTATCTCCTTGTATCTTCCCGTTCGTTCACGCTTTCGCTACATCAAAAGTGCTACCAACTGAGTTGCCCCTCAAACCGACCTAGTAGTCCCAAATAAAAAGTGCTACCAACTGAGTTGCCCCTAAACCGTGCTTGTAGTTGCCTTTTGAGCTTAAAAGTAGCTCATGAACAATATATGCAATTATATACATGAGTCCAAGTTTATATTATGCAGTACACTTATCAATATTACATATAATTGTATTATAATATATTTCATATTATCATAAATATCATTTTAAATCAACCACTTTTTCATGAAAACAATTGGTAACTTTTAAAGTTGGAACGAAAAGGACGCAAACTCGTAAAGCTTGAACACTGCAGTGGGAACCTGAACCTTCGGTCTTGATTGCCATGAAAGTTGGGCTCAATAGAAGATTCGATGCTACCAATATTTACAAAAAAATTTACCATTTAATCTAACACAGTTTACGCTGGATCTTACACACAAACTCACACGGGCTTATGTTGATCCACTAGTTAAAAGAAGTTGAAATGAGAGAGAGAGAGAGAGAGAGAGAGAGAGAGAGAGACAACCATCTAATCGGTTATTCGAAGTTCATAAATGCAGAATTTTGCGTACGTGCTTGAACGGTTTCTACACAGCGATACTTGAGAACGTCAAATTATTTACGCCTACCCTTATTTACAGTCGTAAAAATGAACTCTACGCTAGACTATTTTGTAAGACATGTCAACAGACTTGAAGTGAAGGATGAGCAAAAGTTAAACACCACCTTCACATAACACTTGAAGCTAAACTTGAGCTGATTAGCCAACTTATTTTGCCACAACTACATAAAAATGAAGGGGGACACATGTTTACAGATATTTTAGATTCATCATGAGACGAGCAAACCGACTTCTAAATGAAAGCTCTAATGACCCGGATGCTACCCATATGAGGATATCTCAAGGTTTCTTCGGCATGAATGTACGAGGAAGAATGGAGTTTGCAAGGTCTTCGTTCAGCTTCACGGGAAGAGGTGGCATCTGCTTCATTATTTCCGGCATGTCACTTAAGCTGCCATTCAAAATTTTCCAGTTAGAATGTCCGAGTCAATAGAAGAACACGACAGTAATATTTATTGTCATATGACCAAAGAACTTCGGATATTAGGAAAGATTTGAAACCTGCAGGTTCAAACTAGATGTTTGCTATGTACATATGACCTCTATACGGATAAAGCGATTGTATTCATGTTAGTGTGCCAACAAAAATCATCAGCAACACGTAAAATAGAAGAATTGTAAGGAAATCCCGAAGTGTTCGTATGTGGTAAACTTAGAAATGGCTAGCCAAATGTGGGTATCGGATTTTGAAGGTAACATCTAGAAAGAAAGAAATAGAATCCCACCATTACCATAAGTAAACAGACGATCGTTTTAACTGCCAAATCATTCATAATCCAAAATTACCAAAGTATTGAAGGACAAAAGAAGAAAAACAATGGGGCGATTGTAAATGAATTTATCTTAATTTGAATTGCATCAACGGAGAATTAATACCAAATGAGTGATCACATATGAAAACTTCCAAATTATTCTCTATTCACTTATTCTCGCCTTTCTGGGTTCCATTACACATCTTTCCTTGAAGAGCAATCATTACCACACAATTCCTACTGAAATTTACAATACTCACACAAATATTTCTAACAAGCAACCATTTTCAATTATTCTTCTAGCTATATTTATACCACAGCTATATGATGAAAAATCATCATTCTTCTCTTGCAAGTTTCTTATTCCTATTCTTAACCAGAAATTAAAATATATATATATATATATATATATATATGAAAGTATATTCAATAGCACCCCCAAAATCTTCAGCTACAGCTCAAAAAACATGCAAGGAATGTTAAACAACAATAGGAGCAGTGTGTCTGACTTACTCATTTAAGAGTGAAACAATATTATTCCGAGCTTGACAGAAAAGATTGATATTCTCATGAATCTGCACATCAAACAATGGATATGGTGTTACTTACGATAAGTCATTGCCTAAGTATAAACTATGTACCATGTTCTTAATAAAGCTGATCCATTCAGCAAAAAGTATTTTGAAAATTGTAAATTGACTAGGCCCTGAGATGTACATTACAATGTTTACAATTGAATAAGTTGGTGAAGTCCAAATTTTGCAAAGCCAACCAATTGATACCATAACCAAACTGTTACGTGGTCCTACCTAATCCTAAAGAATATCCATGTAAAAGGAGATTCGAAAAATTGAGAATTTAAATGGATAGAAGCTGCAAGTACCTTGCAGGCAGAAAAATTGGCGGAAATTTGGTCCAACGCCTGAGCATTTTGCTCAAGAAGCTGCCCAGCAGCTCCACCAATAGCTGAAATACATTTGAATATAAGGTTGCTTAAAGTTTAAAGTTCATATCTGACAATAATTGAACAAGGCCAAAAAAATCAAGGCCATAGTATGCAAGTTGCATGCTTGCCAATTGCAAGCAAGCTATAACCATGTGATTTTCTCAGGTGCTAACAAATGCTTAGCTTTGAAAAAAAACTGAATTTCAAGATAGCACGGAATGTGAATCAATACAACTGTCTGAGAAGAGAACACAACATCAAAGTCGCACCAAATATGTCAAGTGAATAGGTCTAAACAAACAATTTCATTTTATGTGTCCGAATATACTATACTTAAATGTTTGGTTCAATTGGAGGAAGGGAGGGGAGGGATTTTAATGGAGGGGGTGGAGGGGATGTAAGATAATCTTACTTCGTTTGGGAGGATTTCTTAGAAGGGGAGTGGATGGAAAGTGGTAATTCTTATTTGGTTCAAAATTAAGCGGACGGAAATTAATGTAAGAATGACAATTATGCCCTTAATGGTATAAGAAACAAATAAATAAAATATTATATATGACGGGTAGAATAGTTATTGCATTTATCAAAATTCGCCATCCATTAAACGGGGGAGGGGGTTGACTTTTACCAAGCAAACCAAACTTACCAAAAAACAACTTTGGCTTACCAAAAGATCACTAATATTGGAAGCCATTTTGATTCACAACGAAAAACAACACGAGCTAATAAGATTATCACCAGATTCATAGAAGTAACCATCTAATTTATAACTAAACATAATCAGTGATAATAAATTAAATGTGTGAGAGAGAGAGAGACTTTTTAGACATGCATAAAAGAATTTATACACTTTAGATGGGCACTATCTTGAGAAAACCATGCACCTTTCTACACCTGACTGAAGCAATTCCTAACAAGGGTAAATGAACTCTAAAAACTTCCAAGCGAAGTACCAAACTAACACATAAGAATTCCATAACCTCCAGGAGCTACTGTAAGCCTGATTCTAAATCATGACATCCTTTTAATATCTGACTAAACAAAAGATTGAAATGTCTCTGGCACTTACATTACAAAGCCTAAGAACTTTGGTAGCAAAAAAAGAGTATGATGCCAACAGAAATCTAATTATGGTCACAGAAAACTTTTACCAACTTCATCGTGATTAGATTACAGAACTAGGTCTTCATTGACACCATTTGTTACCATATATGAAATCGATGTGCTTTTACAAAACAAGCAATCGGAAGCCACTAAGTTTGAGAGAAGAGAAAGAGACTGACCATTTACATAGTAAGAAAAGATAAGAGTGTGTTTACCTTTAAATGAGATTCCATCATCGCTGTCTGCTGACATCATTGACTGAGCATAGGGATGGCCATTGGAGCGGTTTGCAACTTGAGAAGATTTTGGGTCTGTAACTTTTTCCTGACAATCCCAGGAGGAAAGTGAAATATTCAGTCAAATGATCAACTGGCACAAGATTAACTAAGCCAAAGCCACCAAAAAAAAGGAATAAAATGTATCAAAATAACTTATTTGAGTTTCACTTCGCTTCAAAGTATCACTAAACCAAACTGCCGCAATATAAATAGTGGTGGAGTAGCCAAGAGCTCTCCTAATCATGACAAATTATCCGCTTCTTCCTTTTGTTCTAAATTACAGGTTGATTACACTGGCAAACTTTCCAACGTAACTAAATAGATCACTAAGTCCGAGTTAATAACATCTTATTAGATAATGCTGAGATGTCAAATAGGCATATAGATCATCAATGATCAAACTTAACTCATTTTATATCAAGCTACGCAAAACAAATTGAAGGAAATAGACATATAACATCTGTTTGTTTTTCATCCAAGTCAGTGGTCCTCAACTGAGCCTCGCCTTGCATGAATCAGCTAATGCTAGCCAATAGCAAAACTACAACCAATCAGAGTAAATAGGAATTTGTTTAAACAACCTCACTAGGAACAGATGTTCCCAACCCCTTATAGGATGCCAACTGTGCGATAACAAATTCTCAAATACAGACAGAAATTTCTTAAAAAACTAGAAATAGCTTCAGATTATGTCAAAGCAAATGTAAACATTAAAAACTATTAGGAAAAACTATGTGTGAAGCCAGAACTTGATAGCATGCACAACATATAACATGACTTGGAAAAATCTCCACAGTTTCCTGTAGCCCGCAATTGCACTGGGAGAGGCGTATCAGGTAGAAAAAACTGTTCAGTTAGCCTACCTTTTTGTCTTTGTTCTTCCTTGAACTGTTCTCATCTTTCCTCCGCTTTCCATTCTCCTTTTTCTGCAAACAGTAAACCATTTAAATCAGGATTGCTCGGCTTAGCAGAAAGTAGAAATAGTTGAGATGCTGAATTCGGTTACTTCTTCTCCTGTTTTTGTAGTCTACCAATCTCACATACTATGGTGAAATAGAAAACATAGCACCTTTTCATCCATTTAGTATTTCATTTTTATTCTTTTAAGAGACCACTTGTCAGGCTCATCAGTGAAAGAATCTATGTTAGTTATATATTCAATCCAAAATCGTCACACCTTTCCTCAACTAGAAATTCAAAAAGTGAATTTTTGCTGGACACTCCCCAGAGTTGGCAACAAGCCAGTGTTTTTATGTTCTTTCAAAACTGTATATCCTAATACTTCAAGAAAGTAAGGTTCTCCTAAGAGAAATTGAATACATCAATCAATATAGTTTGACATGGCAAAGTGTTACTAATTCTTTGTTTATTAATAATACTCGAAGCCGAATGTCTAGCACAGGAGTAGAGGGACATCTATTCGCTCTTATAAAAGAGCCTCACCTCGATGGAGATCGTCGAATAGCTAAAACATTAAATACAAGGAAAAAAACTATGACCCAGGCACATGTGACAGGAGTCATGAGCTAATTTCTTACCCCACCTCATTCCCAGGAAAAGAAAATAAAGTAATGGATATCATGAACCTACATGATTTTACATTCAGTTATGTATTAAACATGTCGAAGATCATAACACTTATCCTGAAAATCTCATTACGAAACATCCAAAAGAAAAGGGAGAATTAGCCCAAGTATGGAAAGAGAGAGCTCACACTCATCCATCTGCAACGTAGTGCAACATCTCGAACAGTTTTATCACTCAACGCCTGAGCAATTTTAGCATAACGAACAACAGTGGATTCTGAGGCATACCTGCAAACAAAGTTCACCTGTTATTAGAAGGATACGGGAAAAAACTAACGCATGCCACCACGTGGATGGAACATCATAAAGATTTGCAGTAGTTATGTAAAAATCAACTTGGTTCACAGAAATTTGCAGAAAGAACTGCCAGTCAGTTCAGTACATATGGCCAACATGAACAAAAGGGTCAATGCAGTATTGTCTTAATGGGGTGGCTAAGGTTAGACTACGAAGTTTTTCGTTCAAGTCTTTGTCTAAGCTGTAAGCATGGATAGAAAAGTGATACTAGAGAGCAAGATAAGTAAACTTCATAAATGCTCAAGTGGCCCTTGTTTGAATTATTTTACCAGGTAAGAGGACTACCCAGTTACATAAACTCTTAAAAGTTCATACATGTAACAGCTTTAATTATTTCCTTGATTCTTATCATGTCTAGTGTATCCATGTTGTTGGTCGACTTGCAAACGATGAAAATACGACAAATGACTGCAAAAGAAACAGTGACCCACAAGTGCACATTATTCACGAGTATGTGAATATTCATGGAACTTCATTTATATATGAGCCATGTGATCGGGTGAACAAGAATACTAACCACCTAGTATGGATTTCACAATTCCTCACTCGAAAACAACACTCCAATGGAAAAGTATGCCACTTTTATATTTATACATTCAGGGGGGCTGGTGCGTCCTCCTCAAGTGAAGTGCACCCAATGAAGAGTGTCGCTAGTCACTACCTAAGTAAAATTCAATTGCAAAATCAATTGGTGATAGGAGGAGTGCCTCATTAAGATTAAAAGCTTAGCTCATTTTCCTTAATTGATCAATGTGGACACCTCACGAGTGAACATTCATATACCCCTCACTTGCTAGTCTTTGCTAATCGCATGTCCCATCTTTGGCACAATCAATCGAGTCGCCGCAGGTCCCACATTAGACCTATAGTCAATTTATACACTCCAGAGGACTTTAGTGCGGTCCTACACAATTGAAGCGCACCCACTGAAAGGGTGAGCCTACTTGCCCCTAAATAAGGTTTCATCCAAAAATCAATTGGTGTTTCACTATGCTTATAAGCTTGGCACAGTTCCTCTAATTAATCAATATGGAACAACTCACTAGTGAACATTCCAACAGACACCATGAAGGCATACATGAGTGGACTATCATTCATGGTCATCTTTTATTATTTTACAAACTATGAGCTGGAACAGACCGACATGGACACCAACTAAGGTCAAGCAGCACAAACAAAGCTCCTACTCATCGTCAGTTAGTTCATGGTAATTGAAACTCGGATTGTTTGTAAAGTGTCATCTGTAAGTGGCATGAGCTCTTTTTAATCTGACTAGTATTTCAGCCCATGGGGTGACGAGCTCTTATAACTTGTCATTCTCAGCAATCGGCACTCAAGATCAAATTATAGGGCCAGTTACAGATAGCAAATACAAACATGTTAACCCACCACCTCAAAAACGAAGATAGAGGAAACAGAGTAACAGCATAATACTTGTGAACTAGTTTGGTTTGGCACCAAGTTCACTTCAACTACCCAGTGTTTATAATTTTATAAGATCTCATAACACTGCAAATAATCCCACCTAAATTTCCTTGGCGTACCAAAACTATCGCTCATAACATTGAAATAATAATACAAGCTCCAAAAATAGCGGCAACACAGGAATACAAACAAAAAAAAAAAAAAAACACCCAAAAGTTCATAACCTCATTCCGGACTGAGAAAGATATATAATAAGGTTGGCACCACCCCAAAACAAAGCAGAAAACCACCTAGATATTCAGTTTCTCGCCCTAAGTATAAAAAATTTAACTAATAACAATATGGAATTCATTCTGTAACCAGGAAACGCATAACAAAATCACTTATATACACAAGACAGACAAAATCATGTGTGCACGCTATGATGTTGAAACGAAAAAGAACCGGGAGCCGACTTTGCCAGCAAATCCTCGAGTGTAGACTGCTCCTCGTGCGTCCAATCTAGCGACAGGCCGGGATTGTGGCGGAGAGCCACCTGTGTGGGTCCCGCCACGGGGTTGTCCGCTGAGACGCCGCCGGCGCCATTCCCATTCTCTCTACCGCCGCCGTTACTCTTCCCGCCATTAGTACTGCCGTTGCAGGCGTTGCTATGGCCGCCTGATGACGGGTTGGCACTCGCAGCCATCAGATAAACTCAATAAACGACGAAATCTACAAATTCAAGAAAATCTGAAAAATTCAGGAATCGGGTAAGATTTCCAACTGCGTTTTACTGGACAATTGAATTGATATCCGAATGATAATCCCAAATGGGTTCACACAGAGTAAGCGAAAGAAAACGTTGATTATGAGAGAGAGATAGAAAATGGTTTTCAGATAAACATGGAAAAAGAGAATCGGTTTCGCATCGGCGGTTAGGTTTGTCCTTTTTGTATCGGCGAATATATCATTATTATTATTATATTATTATTATTATTATTATAAAAATTAAATTAAAATCCATAAAAATGGAGAATTTTAAGATTAGACGGTTGCTCAATAAATCGTCTTGTTCGTCCAGGTATGGCCACCGGACGGGATGGCCAGGCGATCTCGGCCCATTGCCATGGGTTTTGGATCACAAGAATTATTTAGGGCGTGGTGAATGAAATCGGTTTTGATTAAATTTATCAGTTAAAGTTAATTACTACCTCCGTTTCAAATTATAAGTCTGTTTTGACTTTTTCGGTACATTCACTTTGCTATGTATCTAGATAATAATATGTCTATATACATAACAAAATGAATGAATCAAAAAAGTTAAAACGACTTATAATTTAAAATGGATGGAGTATTTTATTGCATAAGTGGATGATTGAGAGGGATCTTGAATTTTTATTATAATAGTAAGTATTTGAATGTAATTATTAATATTTATGTGATGTAAAAATAAGCAATAGATTATTGAAAATGATATATAATTACAAATGTGTAAGTGAATGAATAGTGAATTAAATTTCAATAAAGTGTGATGAAATTGATTGTCATTATTTGATCATAGTAATAATGAAGAAAGTTGAGTTGGATAACAATTGAATTGAATTTTGAGTTAAATATTGTAAAAAAAAAAAAAAAATATCGATCAGTCAAAAAACGGTTGTATTTTGTAGCCAATCACACCCTTATGATTCACAGGGTTTAGACCAATATGAAAACTAACAAACATCATATGGACCATTGGTTAAAAAAATACATTTTAAATTTTTAATTCGAATTTTAAGTTGGTTCTAGATGAGGAAGTGTCCAATATACAACAATTGGATCTTGTAACCACTGTTAGTCGTTGGGTTATAGTCGACGATCAACCATCAGGTGGATTGGTGGATTTGTCAAAATTTTTACTTTTAGATATCTCATTCTTCGAACTCATTTTTCACACGGTTATTCAATTTATGCCACCCAAAATTTTATTCCAAATTTTCTCTGAATAAAATCAAGTTTACTATCAAAATTTGTGATTTGTTGGCAAATTGGAATTGTGCCTTATTTTTTTTTTTCCAAACGACAAACAACATAAAATTACTCGAATAAAAATCTTACAATGCGAGGCCTAAATAGGCACAAATGTTACATAAGCAGACCAAAACATCTACCCAAGTAACAATAGAATGATGTTCTAAGAATCACCTTGCAAAGCCATCTTGGCTATAAAGCTACAATCTTTACACAAATTAACATTAAAAGAAAAAGCACAGAAATTAAAAAGAGAACAGAGATGTTTGAAATCAGAAGTTCTAGTATCCATCTGCTCCCCATCTTCAGACATCTGCTGCAGCCACTCAATCATAGCCTTGGAGTCCAAATAACAGTTGATGTTCCTCCACCCTTTGGCTACAGCTTGCTCAAGAATCCAACAAGTTCCTTCAATGTAGGCCTCCACTGAACTGCCACTAAAGTCCCTAGATGTATCCCACAATTGAAGATCCTTGTCTGCATTAAAAGCCTTACCACCCATTCCCATTCTTCCTTCTTGCACCCAGCAACTAACAGCAACCCCAATGCTCCCCCTACTCTCCCCCCCTCCCTCTCTCTCCACATTGCTCCCAAAGATGATATCCCTCTCTTCACCCCCTCCCACATCCCTCTCACCCCTATCTCTCCCAATCTCTCTACCTAATCTCTCACATTCTTTGAACTGCTGCCAATCATCATAGGCCTGTTGGACTACCCTGTGCTCCTTAACCCATTTATGTTGGAAAATCCAACAATTCCTAGTTTTCCAAAGCCACCATAGTAAATAAGTAGACAAACTAATCCTATCAATCATGTGGTTGGCCTTAGGAGCAGTACAAACCTCATACCACCACACGCCAAAATCAGTATCCTTCCTATCAACCCTATCCCAGCCCACTCTTACTAACTTCCAGCACAATCTGGCCCTATAACAATTGAACAAAATATGATTCAAATCCTCCACTCCTTCCCCACACAACTCACAGATTAAGTCACAATCAATACCCCTTCTAGCCATTTGCATATTGGAGTTAATGAAATTATTGCAGCACCTCCACAGAAAATTTTTAATCTTATTCTGAATAGGAAGACCCCAAGTAACCTTCCACATCCTGTCCATACGATTCCTAGCACTACACCCCCTATCCTTACCCTCCTGTTTACCCTGATTCCTAATCAAATCATAAACATTAATCACAGAAAACACTCCATCTTTTTTCCCATGCCACACCCATCTGTCTTTCATACTCACAACATTCAGAGGGATATTAATGATAGCTTTGGCAGTAACTGGATCAAAAGTTTGGTGAATAAGATCCCTATCCCACTGATAACCCCCAACCCCCATAAGCTCTCTCACCTTTCTCAATCTAATCCTATCCCCTGGGAACCCACAAACTGGCACAAACCCTTTTATCTCTGGGATCCAAGGAGAATCCCAAATATCTGCTAGCCTCCCATCCCCAATCCTAAATCTAAGGCCCAACTTCAGAGACTTTCTAGCACCCATCCAACACTTCCACAACCAAGAGTCCCCTCCTTTAATCTCAACATCCCACAACTTAGACCTAGGAAAGTATCTACCCTTAATCACCCTGCTCATCAAAAGATTAGGCATAGTAAGAACCCTCCATAATTGTTTCACCAACAGAGCCTCATTAAAATCTCTCAAATCTTTAAACCCTAAACCCCCCTCACTCCTATCCTGAGTTAATTTGTCCCATCTAGCCCAATGCCATTTAAAACCCTCCCCATGATCTTTTTTTCCCCACCAAAAATTAGCTGCATCCCTACAAATATCATTACACACACTCACAGGCACTCTATAGCAGGACATAATATAATTAGGGATTGCCCCTATCACAGATTTTAACAACACCTCCCTACCTGCCTCACTCAGATAAACATTTTTCCAGCTAGAGATTCTGTTTTTAACTACCTCACTCACAAATTTGAATGTTTCTCTCTTAGATCTTCCAATTCCCAAGGGTAGACCCAGGTACTTAGAAGTTCTAACTTGCTTGATCCCCTTTAAAATGCTACACACCCCAGAGATAGTGGCATAGTCTGAATTTTTTGAGAAATATATCGAGGATTTACAAAGATTAACACACTGCCCAGAGGCAGCCCCATACTCAGAAAGGATATTGAGAATAGTAAGAGCATGAGCAGAATCAGCTTTACATAGGAGCAAGGAATCATCAGCAAAAAACAAGTGAGATATAACAGGAGCCTCTCTCCCCACTCTAATACCTTGATATCTTCTATCCACTCTAGCTTGACAAATCAAATTAGAAAAAGCCTCAGAGACTATGATAAAGAGATAAGGGGATAAAGGATCCCCTTGTCTCAAACCTCTACTAGCCCTCACAAACCCAGCCTGCACCCCATTCACATTAAAACTAAAGGAGGTATTACTAACACAAGCAAGAATCCAACTCACAAACTTCTGACTAAAACCCATCTTCAGGCAAACCTTGGCTAGAAAATCCCACTCAATTCTATCATAAGCCTTGGACATGTCCAATTTAACAGCCATAAACCTACTTCTCCCTCTCCTCTTGCTATTGATGTAATGAATACATTCATTAGCAATAATTGCATTGTCCAGGATTTGTCTTCCTGGAACAAATGCAGATTGAGCAGAAGAGATGCACACATGAAGAACAGTCTTAAGCCTGTTAGCAAGCACCTTAGCTATAATTTTATACATGACATTACACAGGCTAATGGGTCTAAACTCACTAACTTGAGTGGGATTTTTTTTCTTAGGAATAAGGGTTATGATGGCATGATTAATACCCTTAGGAATTCTACCACTCTTTTGAAAATTAGAAACAGCCTCCCAAATGTGACATTTCACAATGGGCCAGGAACTGTGGAAAAAGCCCACAGTGAGGCCATCCTCACCTGGAGCTTTGTCATTATGCATATCACTGAGAGCTTCTCATATCTCCTCCTCTGAAACTGCTTCAGAAAGCTTGGAATTCATATCTGAGGAGATAGAGTGTGGAATGCCCTCAAGATTGCAGGACTCCACACAAGGATTGGTAGATTTAAACAAATTGGCAAAGTACTCTTCAAGCACACTAATGGTATCCTGATCACTAACACATTTAGACCCATCACTTCTACAAAGGTTATCCAGACTATTCCCCATTCTCCTCTGTTTAACAGAGGCTTGAAAGAACTTTGTGTTCTTATCCCCACCCTTCAACCACTCAACCCTAGCTTTTTGTTGCCAATAAGCTTCTTCTTGCCTGTAGGCAATGTGAAGCATATTTCTACAACTCCTCCATTCCTCCCAGTCCTTGAAAGCCCCCTGGTCCTCTAATTTTTCCATCCTAGCTTTAAGTCTATCAATTTCCTTAGCAGAATTATGGGGAAAAGTAGAGAGCCACCTCAAGATGGCTTGTCTAACATTTTTAATTCTACTTTGGATACTGAAAAGACTGTGACCCCCAACTTGCAAATTCCAAGCCTTATCAATGACATCATGGTAACCCTCCACCTTAGACCACCTATTATCAAAATAAAACCTCCTAGGGGACTTAGCAACAATACCATCAGCATCCAAAAGGAGCATGCAATGGTCAGAGGAGAATAAAGGAATGTGTCTGACCACAGCATTAGGGAAAGTCCTAATCCAATCAGGAGACAAGAGGATTCTATCCAGTTTAGCCTCAACAAACT